TTTAGCGACTCATGCGCATAAACTTCTAGTAAATAATAAAAATTCAATCCGTCAAAACCACCTGGGATATTTCATTAAGTTTATGCAGTAAGTAGTAGTAATTTCTTTTAAAGCAAGAACAGATTGAAAGTAGAATCCCATACAGATTATTCTTTCGTATTATCTTCTATTTAAAACGGTGTTTCTAAACGGTTTAATATTACTAACGGTTGTGTCAACCGAAAGAAATACCCGTAAAGAGGCGACCCATTCCCGTTCCCGCGCTAAAATCACTGAAGGCTTTGCTTGTTTACAACCCGCACACGGTTTTACACCAATTTTACGAACCAAAAATCACTAATAAATGATAAACATATAATTAAATAAACGGATACCATACGTTTCTTATCGGTTTCCTTCAAAAATTCCCACGTTAACTTTTATTTATTATGGCAAGCACGACTTGTGCATATTTAAGTTAAGGGTATTTTTGTTGATCTTATTATATATGTGTAACTATAGGTGATGTAAAGATTATGCACATGCAGTGTAAAATTGCAGTATAAAAACAAAGAAAGACAATCCCGTCAATCAATTGCCCCTTCGTTTTATTAAATTCAACAGAAAAAAGTACTTTATGTTTCTAAAAATTGTTTAATGTTTTTAAATTTCAACAATGAATCAGATTTCATATTTTAAATTCTAATGCCATTTATGAGTCGTCATGTGTCAGTGCTATTTTAAGTTTATATTCTATCTACAATCATCTTTGAATATTGTATTATTATTACATTAGAATCAAACCAATCATGTAACGTTATCCTTTGTTCAATGTCAAAATAAAAAGACAATTTCATTATTAAGAACTTATAATGTGTCCATCGAAACTAGTTGAATCTGGTGATCCTAGGCAACGCTAATGGTCACAGGAGCCAATAAATATTCATTGCGGCAAAAACACGAGGTGCGCACGTGCCTCGCCAGACATCGCGCTTTCTTCACATTCAACTGTATAATTATGGAGGTGGCATATTTTTATTATTTATAATTGCACATAAAACAAGGAAGGAAGGAATCAACATTACGCGAAAGAAAATGCCAGGAGCTCTTTTTAAACAATTACTTTTTTACTCAACTCTATCATATTACACTAGCAATCACATCAGGTCTCTACAAGATGGTAGTAGTATCGTCCATGTGACAGGCGAAGAAACTAAGCCTTACAGCCAAATCCTGGCTTAATATTTTCTTTATTATATTATTTCTTAATCTTTTCTTCTTGTTTTCTTTATTTATTCTCTATAAATAAAGATAGAAAACTGGTGTTCGAAGTTTCAATACCTCTTTTGAATTATTTGAAAAATGCAGGAGGATACAGGAACTTTTGTTTTAAACAGTCATGTGTGTTTTTTTTTTGCATTACATCTAGTAATAGTCAAAATGAAAAAGAAATGAAATAGATAATTAATATTTTTAAATATGAATAGCGGATAAAAAATTAAATATATATATTTCTCAAAACTTTTATGAATCGAGTGAATATAATAGTAATAAAAACTTTAAAACACTATCCAAATTTTATTAGCTCGTTGATCAGCAGCTCTCGGAACATTGCAATCGCCACAGGTCAGCTCTAGAAAAAGTTACGAGCTCGCTCGACACGCTTCACTCTCCATTCTACTTACTCTATAATCTAGAGCTGACCATAAACAATTTAGCAAAAAAAATTAACAGAGTTAATGGGATATGAGGAACTTTACTTATTTCACGTTTACGCTATATGGTTTTGTTAATGAAAAATAACTAAGAGATAAGCATTTCTGCTCTGTTAAAAGGTAGTCTTAATGCCGACGTTGAGCACTGTGAGGGCATAGTGCTTCTATGCAATAATAATAATATGATTCATTGCACGTTAGACAGGCCATAATTACAGAGAAACTAGAAAAAAGAGAGATAGAATACAAAAGGCGATCTTATTGGTACCCAGCAATCTCTTTCAGTCAACCCGAGGCATGATGAAAGAATAATAAAAAGATAAATCTTGTAATAAATATTGTATTACCTTTTGAAGTTGGTTTTCGTTGATTGAAGCTCTATACTATGATTCAGTAACAGTAGATAGGCGCCTCGGCCACGAACGTTATTGTTAAAACAACTTTTGTAAGGATCGGTCAAGTGATGGGTGGCTAAAAATTATTATTTTGAGCTACTACGCGCTCGTTAAGGCACGTTAAGCTGTTGTTCTCGGCTGTATTTTCAGTAGTTAATGCCCACCAATGCACATTGAGGCAGCGTGGAGGGTCACGGTCCGTCAGCCTTACCATCCATAAGCCTTGAGCGTCCGCAGTGGGGATGTAAAAAGTTTGATAATAGCACTGCGCTTTACGTCAAGTTTGGGGCTGCTTCGGCCGCGTGGTCCTATATTATACATAAGTAAACACCTCTTCAATCAATCTTTATATTGATTTACACGGCATTAAAATCCGTAGTGTTTTTTATAAGATCTCAATTTACAGATGAAGCGAATTTGTTTTATACTATGTATATAAAGCACAGCTTAACAATATTCAGAATAGCCAAAGTATAAATTAGTACATGAACTATTAAAAGCAATCCGTTAACACGCAAGAGATGTAATGCGAAGATATAAATAGACAATAACTGAAAATATTTTTCAAATAAAATATTATAGAATAGTTTTCCCGCGATTTCGTCAACATAAATTATAACGTATATAAAGGTTTCTGAATTGAGTAAAGTTAACCACGCCTCAAACGGTACTTAAGCCATCTTAAACATCACTTTAACAGGTTTTCGTTTCTGATTTTATATTTTTTAATGATCAGTTAATAGCAGTTTGATAAAACCACGACTTTTTGCCTTGTGAAACGTAAAAAAATATAAGTGGTTGAGAATAATCAGTAGAAATTTTTTACTTTTCTCAATTCAGAAACCATCTGTACTTGTACAACATATAAATAGGTAAGTTATAAAAGTAGAAATGTTAAATATAGAGCAATAGAGAGGTTTAAGAGATGAAGGATACATTATAGATAAAATATTAATAATAATAAAAATATCTTTAAATTTTTATGTAAAGTTTTGTGAAAAAATTGTGACATTGAAATAAGAATACTATTATTTATTAGTGATATGAGAAAATATAATTCGTGGAGAAAATGGTGAAAACATAAAAAAATACATGTAGTCGAAAATACATATAATTTCTTTTCTTTTTGAAGTTATTAAGTAACAAACAGCCATTTGTTATTACATAATAATTTGACAATCATTAGAGCTTAAAGGCATCATTAAATCTTAATGGGCGTTTCTGCAACAGACCGTTTATTGGTTATAATTAACTGAGTAATACTCAATCTTTGCTGAATTCTCCTAGAATTAAAATAATAACTAATTGAAATCGCGGCTGTTAAATACAAATGAATATGAAAATTTACCTGTTGCATATAAATTACTGAAATGGATCACATAGTTCTTGCATTATAAATGCCAACGAACCAGCTATCAATTAATATTGAACCCACAGCACGTTCGTACAAAAACACCTAATCTATTCAAGTGGCTAGTCACAAGGGTCGCGACACGAGCGACAGAGAAGCAAATATATTAAAAAACACACAACAAAAGAGGACGGCACAGCCGCCGATGTTCGGGTCATATGTCGCCCGATATGTCATAACCTGTTCGAGCGAAACAACCATACATATAGCGAAGCACGACAGAAAAAGAAGGCGTCAACAATGACGTCAAGGGTTAAAAGTCAAGCAAAGCGTCGTGGCCTGTGTGAGTGGGATAGTAATGTGTTTATAACGTGAGTATGTCAGGGATAGTCGCATGAGGGTCAAAAGACGAGCGTCTGTAACCCTGAACCTAGCAAACACGCTGTGGGCCGTATTCAGGAACGAGACGAAGTGTTAATAATATCTCTGCTTGCGGGATAATATTGGACGCGTTTGTTTCCTACACCTAGGACCATAGTTTAGCATTGGTTGTAGATTTCCAATGTCGTTAAAATGTTCAGTATTGCATTGTCTCGCTTCTTTATGGAGATAGATAGTAGCTAAGTGCTTTGACTCGTGTAAGAGAATTACCGGGTTTTCTTAGTTATTTAACTAGTTTATTTTATGAATAAGAATAGGACTTGTATGAAGAAAACTATTTTTTTGTCTTAAAATACTGATTAAAATACACAGTTATACAGTACTAACCAAGTGATATCTTGAGCTTGAATTACATAAAATAAAAACTATTTTTCTAAACAGAACTTGTCAGTTAATGTTACTTTACCTAATCTTATGTTAGTGAAGTTATCAATGAACAAAATTTTGAAAATTTTCATGGGCTTTCAATTCACATGGTTTTTCAATTTTTAATCAGATTTATTATAAAATATAATATTCAAACAAAATAATTCTTGTGATAAAAATAAAACCCGTCCCTGATTCCCCAGTGCACTAATGAATCGGGACGACGGCATAATTAAACAGTTTGCGACAATCAGCCTGGGCCCAATGTGTCCGAACGAAACTGATATTTTTGTGATACAGTTTGATAATTAAAAAAAATATATTAAAAAGCGTGCACGAACTTGTATACGGACAACAGTTATATGAGTGATTAAAAAAGTTTTTAGTTCGATATTTAAAAAGTGCTTTGAACGTTTCAAGACTTAATTAGCCCCGTTTTGTTTTTTTATTGTGGTTATGTTTTGTGGCTGTGAGATTCAGTGTTTTGGTGCTGATAAGAGGATTTTATTAAAAGCTGTAATATATAAAATTTCGGTTTATAATTAAGTTAATGCGATATTACAGTATTTAGTTCATGTGTCTTGAAATGTTTCGGCCGGAGTTTCATTTTTCCAGTAAATTATTGGATCTCTTAACCAGAGGTAATTCGGCACGATTTTAATAAATATTAAGGAAGTGATTGGTTTGATTTATAAATAAAATATGGTCAGTTTTATTTTTGTTGAAGATAAAGTTATGTGATTTTGGTTTCAGGCAATCCTCAGCAGGAAAATGTCAACTTAACTTCAATTAATGGTAATAAAATTTCTTTTGCATCTAAATGTTACATACTTATAAGAGCTGATTATCTATGTTGATGTTGCAAAGTTAATTGGTTAAGAAAATTATTTATACTTATAACGAATAAAAACAACTTCTGGATCTTCATATGTGAACTCAAAATATTTTAACTACCTATATGGAATCTTATCTGAATGCAAGTGAGACTTCATCTAACTCCAAGTTTTTGACCTAAGTTTTAGGTCAACACGTGTGGGAGTATATCGGAAAGCAGATAAAAAATTATATCGATTCTTTAACTAGAACTGAATTGGATGTTCAGTCATGCTAATTTAAGCAGTCATACTATAAGCCTAAGCGAATTATCCCTGATTTGATTACCATCTTGGTCAGCTGAGACTGTTGAATTCTGCAATTACATTTCTATGAATTACTAAATGTCGAGGACTTACGAAAAAAATTGAAGTTACTAAAAAAATACCCTGATCGGATATTGAACTCAAGCCCTAACGCTAGATTAAGCTGTCCTGGTTGACTTAATTGCTAAACGATCAGCGCATTGTTTTCAAAGTCGGTAATATGTAGCTGCGCTCCGTCCCGCGCAGATTCAGTTTTATATAAGGACGCTGTTCCCCAAAAAATGGTTTTAAGTATCATCAATGTCATTTCAAAACGCCATTAAAGATTTTAGAGTTGATTTTAAAATTTAATATAACTTCTTTCAGAAAAGACATAATATCATGTAATTTTGCATATTATTAAATAACAATGTTCCATCGCGTATGTATCTAAAAGATGTCACTATAATTGTTCCTTCGATTAAGAAAAAATAAAAACAAACATTAATACCTATTTATAAATGACACAACTTTTAAACGATTTTATCGTAATACGTTTCGGACCATTTACAGGTACAATTCACAGAATACAAAAAGACGTGGTACAATTAATACCTATTGCTTAAAATTTACTTTCAAATGATTTCATGTGCTTTTAATTACTTCTAGCATAATTATATACAACGAATGCTATAAGTATTTTAAGGATAAAAAGGTATCAACTTCATTATTCCTCAGAATTTTTATTTTGTATTATAATTATTTCAATCGGTCATCATCATCAGCCCTTTGACGTCCCCACTGCAGGAGCTCAGGCCTTCCTTATGGATGGTTGCCTTCCGAAGCACGGAGTAGCTCGAGATAATAATTTTTTGGTCACCCATCCCGTGACCGACCCTTGCGAAAGTTGCTTAACGACAACGATCGCGGGCCGCGGTGCCTATCCACTACGCCACCGACCTACTCAATCGGTCAACAAATTATATAAATAATTAACAGTATAGTAAATTTCACATTTATTTCTAATTTAAACTTAGATTTACATAGTACCTCCATAAAGATATTTCTTAAAGATAAATTAAAAAAATATATATTTTTCAATGTTTTAAAATAAAATAATAAGCTATTCTTCTTCATATCTATCGTCACACACTTTAAACGTTAAAATTGAATGTTTCACCAAATCTATCAACATTTTAATCAAATTCAGATCCTTTAATGTTCTTAAGGAAATAACAAAATTTTTCGGCTTACGTTGGTACGAGGTGTAACAATCTCGAAGGTTTAGCCAACAGTTAAGGACCTACCGTAAGGATTAAATATTAGTAGCTGAATATCTTTGAAAGCAAGTCATCTACTATCTGTCTTCGCTTATTTTGTTTAGATATTGTCAACTATTTGAAATTTGTTAGATGTTATGCCAGTTTTTATTTTTTATTTTTATATTTGTTAGATGTTATTTAGCTTTTGCCCGCGATGGACGAAGTCACGTGGTATAGTGACTTTGAGCAGTGTTTCTAAAACAAATATCTATTCATGAATCCTACAACCCAGGGAATCCTAGTGTGGGAAACAGTGTTCAATTTATTTATAATTGCAAATTCCATCTTTGGTGTTTAATAAACCTTAAACCTTAAAAACCTTAAAAATATGTCGTAGTCGATTGACGAAAAGATCCAATTAGGCGGCTAACCCTATTCTAGCGCCATTCTAATGCACAGCTAAACATCGATCGGCTAAGTAACACAATGTCCTTCTACAGTGCGGCTGTACAAAGCCCAGGGAACTGGTTAACTGTTAAGGATCAAGATACGAAATACAATTATTATTTTTACTAATAACAAAATATCCGCGATATTAGAATTAAAGTTCTCACTAAATTTTAATTGTAAACTTTACCTTGACCATAATATTGCGATGTAAAGTATATATACTTAACGCAATCTAGTATAGCAAGAAATATAGAGTTTACTTATATAATATAGAGTTTGCTTTAGTATATAAAATGATTTATACTAAAATATTTTCAAAGATATTTATTTAAAATGTGATTTTTGTTATCAATTATGTACTTAAACGCAAATTTTTATCACAATAAAAGGAAATCTTTATATTATTACATAGATATATTACAAAGACAAATCAAATTGTAAAAAATGGTTACTATGGTAACATTTTGATTCCACATTATTACATTCACTCTCATATTCATCCCTTCTAATGATAAATGCTTAAAAAATCCTATTTGTCTCTTGCACTCTGAGATGGGACACTAACCCATGACCTTTCGCAATCCGGACGACTGCTCTAACCATTGAGCTTCCCAGGACCTGAGAGGACTGACGAATTTTTTAAGCACCAATTACATTCACTCCCATTTTCATCCCTTCAAGTGCTAGTTTTCTGGATAAAATAACCTTAATGATAAATGCTTAAAGAATCCAATTTGTCTCTGGCACTCTGAGATGGGACACTAACCATTGAGCTACCCAGGACCTAACAGGACTAACGAATTTTTTAAGCACTTGTTACTTTTTAGCTCCTACAGCGCCTATTTTCATCAATGTTCAAACAATCTACCCAAACAGTGGAAAGAAATATTTTTTCAAATATTTATGCTTTCGATAAAGAATAACTTTTTTCTAATGTCTTATATTAGAAAAAAAAAATTCACAGTTCAGTAGAGTTCAATTTAATTGAAATGGCACTAATAATTCATTTTTTGTAACTTGAACCAATATTTGACAGTTTCCGTGGTATATCAAGGTGGCGTCATCTCAGAAGTCCGGGGTTCGATTCTCGGTTGGGTAAATGTAGTAAATGAACTTTTATATATTGTGTTATGTTACCTTCGTCGTTTCAGATTATTATCAATATTTTTTTAATAATTTAGGATCTAAACAATGTCTCTATTTATATATTTATATTCCATTGGAAAAGGATTTAGACAGAAAAAACTGTATCACAACTTTACTTTTAATGCGAACGGGTCACATCTTTCCTGTGGACTTTTCTGCATTCCTACATTATTTGATGGGTAATAAAGTTCAAAGAAGCATTTAAATGTGTAACAACAACATTTCAGTAAAAAACAGCAGATTAATATTACCGAAGACTAGGCTGAATGGGCTAAACGGGCTTTGCCTTAAATTAAATTACTACTACTACTACTACAAGAAACAAGTGTAATATGATCCTAGTTACAAAAGTTCATAATTCTACATGGCAACAATAATATATATAAACATAACAGCTTCACAGTTCCGCTATTTACGATATATAGCGTAATAATGTCTGTAACTCGAGTCGAAAGCCACCTGTTGGCTGATAGTCCGCCCGCTGAATTATCATGGACATTACCTAGAAGTTATTGTTGTCAGTAAATACTATCTAATCTAAGCTGACTAAACGAATGTTGAGACGCGCGAGTTTGGAATTACAATACCGGTTTTTTATTATCTGTGTTTTTTATGATTGTTTTGTCGGAAGATATCCGTTTGTGCAGCTGAATAAATAATGCTACTAATAATATAAATGCGAAAGCTTTTGCGGATGGATGTAAGGAAGTTTTATATTTCTTCACGCAAAACTACTGAATGGATTCGGATAAAATTTGGCATTATGACAATTGTAAGACTGAATTAAAGTATTTTTGATCTATTTAACGGTTCCCTAGCGATTTAAATACGCGGACAAAGCCGCTGGCGGAAAGCTATATTTCTGTAGATGTAAATACTTTTTTCTAAAGTAATATCGTAAAAAATTAAAATTTTGCTTATTAAAGAAAGTAGTTTATATTTATCGCATCAAAATCCATGTTAACGAGGAAAGTAGGTACATTGATTGATTGTGTTTTGGTCATGTTTGGAGCAAAGAGATTTTTTATTAATATATTTAGCACCCACCACTCAAAGATTGAGTGCGGCGCTGTTTCCAGTAACACGAAGTGACAGGGGGCGATCAGAATGTATGCTGCCAAACAACGGCACTTCGAGGAAAGTGGTCGAAACGTTATAAGAATAAAAAATTGAATGCAAAACACCATCAACCACAGTAGCTCCTGATTGCACGCTCTGTCAGTTCATATTTATGTCACAAGATGCTGTTACCCGTGGCTTTAACAAGTATCAAGTGTGTTTTCGCGGTAAAAGGTAGCAAACGTAGTATAGTGTAGAGACAGCTAAGTAAATCTTTACACTTAAAGTCGACGCTTTGTTACAATGTGAATGAAGGAGAAAAAAACACATTTATTATGAAACTATTTACACAAAAAAATTAATATATGAACTTTAATTACACAGTGTCAACCATAAGTCGGTGGGAATTTTTGGATCAATATCCTCAATCGTTAGTTACAAAGGAGACTTTGGTTATTTAGGATATATTTTTATAATTTGAATTTGCGTTGTATTAATTAGCTTGAGAAAAATGTTTTCTTTTATTTTCTACTTATCTGCCAGCATCTTTCCTCAAATTCATAAAAGAAATCTCTTTAGACAAAGGGATAAAAAATGTCTCAGGCAGGGCTGTATGTATCTCCTTGTTTTAAAAATGAAGCTTTTGACACGATTATACGTGTAGACCATTGATTAAAAAAATCGGCAAAGTGCGCGTTAGAGTCGAACACGAAGTGTTCTGTACAATTATCTATAAAAACATTAAAAAAAAACACATTTG